GCGGGACCTGCCTTACCAAAGTAGATTAGGAATACAAGTAACAGACCGACCATACCCGGGGAGGCAGTAAGGGAGCAATTTCGAGCTGTGTGTCTCCGTCTACATTAACTAGTTGACGCAGACACTAGCCAGGGTGGCCACTATTCTCCACCAAATTCAATGGCAAAGCAATTTTTTTGGCAAGTTGGGGAACGGAAACCACAGCCTGGAAACTCTGTACGGAGTCTTAAAGATAGCGAGTTATTTAATTTACCCTTGTAGAGGGAGCGGTGAAGGCTTTCAGCACGGCAAGACGATACTTTCGAAACTGTCACTAGACTACTCAAACCGTAGTCTCCCGCCCAAAAAAGTGTGGCACATGGCAAGTCTAAACAGGGCCTCCCTCTGGAGCTCCTGTCCCCGGGAAAGGTACGTTGTGACTGATCCACGAGGTAAAAGGGGAGCAGGAAATCCTGTCTATTTCCAGCAGCCCTCAGAGAGGAAAAGGTGGGTATCGAGCCGGAGACGAACCCGGGCCCCAGTCCCAGGGCCGGAGAAGGAAAAACCCCGGCCTCCCCGGCGCCCTGGAGCTGTGCACTCCCGCCCGGCGCCTCAATCCCACTGGGGTTTTCCTTTTCCCCGTCCCACTCTGAGCCTCACCATCGCTCCCATTATCCCTCCACCACCCCCACTCGCGCAGGCGCAGTGGGAACCGGGGCCTATCCATGCCCCCGAGGCGCCGCGACTATGGCGGAGCCGGAGCAGGCCGGTAGCAGCTCCGCGCCGGGCTTCCGTCCCTCTCCCGTCCCCACGGCCTCCCCGCCCCCGTCGGGACCCCGTCTCCACCCGGGCGGCCCCTCTTCCGCCCTCCTCACCCGTTCTTCAGATCCACCTCCAGGATCTTCCCGTAGCCCTTAAAGAAGCGCTCCACATCGCGCTCCCGGGCCTGGTAGCTCAGGCGGCCGATGTACACCCGCGGCATTCCGGCAACGGCGGCAGCAGCTTGGCCCGGCCCCAGCCCCCTTAGGCGGCGGCCGGCGAAGCAAGAGCGCAGCGACGGCGGCGGCAACGGGCGGGCGGCGGGACCGACGCAGCCGAACCCCGGCGACGTACGCGAGCACGCAGCTCGCGAGCGCGCACCTCCCGCCTCCCCCGCCCTCCCCGCAGGCGGAGGGTAACGGGAGTGAGCGCGCGTTCTCTTCCCGCCCGGCCAGGAGTAGGGGCGGGGCTTGCCAGGGGGCGCGCCCGGGTGGGCGGGGCCAGTTGATCGACAGGCGGCACTGGCCCTTCCGCCCCTCCCCCCGGCACGTCCTCTCGCGAGCTCGCGGTTCTGCACCTCCTTCAGCAGCCTTGGTTTTGCCCCTCCCCGCGGAAGTGCCCGCGCTCCTCGCCCAGAGAACGTTCCTGCTTTTGTCCTTTGATTCTGGAGTGGTTTCTACTTTAGAGCTGGAACTTTGGAATTAAACCTGGCTTCTATCTACGTATCTGTGACCTTGGGCTTGTTACACGCCACCTGTCTGAGCCCCGTTTGTTTTCTCTGTAAAAGGGGGCTGGTAATTTCAAACGTCCCGAGTTGTCTTGAGAATTATGAGAATAGGTATGTAAAGCACTTAGTATTGTTCCCAGCACATCTCAAGTGCCCAATAAATACCAATATTATATTAAAAATAGGACGTTTTGCTTCAATAGAAGCGTGGAAAGTGGAGAAGGCTGGAGCTTTGGAGAGAGGTTAGTCTTGACAGTGACCAAATTACTTGACCAATTTGACCTACTTTCTAATTTGTAAAATTAGAATAATTTATGCCATCTCAACGAGGACTACCAGGATAACTAAATAGGGTAGTTAGTGTATGTGGAAGGGCTTGGAACAGTATCTGGAACGTGAAAGGAACTCAATAAACATTGGTTCTCTTCCCACTAACCCAATTTACCTAGAACCACAAGTTTTATTTGCTGTTTTTATTTTTAAAGTCATATTTTGAAAGGATAATTCACTAACTGACTCAAGTGATATACAGTGAAGTCTTTCCATCTCTTCTCTGTAATTTCCCTCTCCAGAGGCAATCAAGGTAATCAGTTTCTGAAATGTCCTTTCAGACGTTATTTTACACATATAAAGCAAATAGTAGTGTACTATACATACAGTTCTACACTTAATATATTTTAAAAATCAAGAGTACAAGAGGAGCTGCCTCAGCACAATTTTTATGGCTCATAATATACCATTTTATACACAATTTATTAAATCAGCGCCCTAGTGAAGGACATTGAGGTTAAGTTCAAACTTCTTGTTATGACTGTTGCAGTGAGTAACTTTGTATATACATATGTATAGAATCTATTCCTAGAAGTAGGATAGTTGGGTCCAAGGGTGTAGGCAAATGTGGTTTTGATAGATATTGCTCAATTCTCCTCCATAGATACCTGTTTCTCCACCTCCTCCTCAATACCATGTTATCAAACTTTATGATCTTTGTCAATCTGATAGCTGAAAAATGGTATCTCGGGTAGTGTAAATTGAAATTATCTTATTTTGAATGGACTTAAGAAACACTTATATTTTACTTTCTGTGTCTGTTTATATCTCTTGCCCATTTTTCTTCTTGATTCATACAAGCTCACAATATAATAGGGAAATCAGTTGTCAAATGAGTTGCAAATATTTTTTCCCAGTTTGGTGACTTTTGACTTTGCCTAGTGTTTTTTGCTGTGTGAAAACATTAGATGTTTACGGGGTCGAATTTATCCATTCTTTATTTTTCTTTGATTCTGGATTTTGTGCTGTAGTTTGAAAGACCGTCCTCACGCTGAGGTGTTTTTGTTTTGTTTTGTTTTAAATACCTCCCTGGCTTAGTTATTTTTAGGGCTTATTTTTATATTGCAATCTTTGATCCATTTGGAATTTAGTAAAGTGTGAGAATTATAATATTTTTAAGAACTAGCACTAACCTTGGTTGTCCTGTGATTTGCTCAGCCTATTGTACAGATGGGAAAGAGCCCCGCAGAGGGGAACTATCTGTCTCTAAAACCTGCTCCTCCTGTGGAGTCCCCTAACTCAGGGAATGGCACCTCCAACCAGCAAGGTGCCAAAGTTTAACCTTTAATCACCACATTCAATTTGTCCTGTTGAGTTTTCCTTCTAAATATTCACGAATCTATTCACTTCTCTCCACTCCTACTTACTAAGTTAGTGCAGGCCTCCCTCATCATATCATATCAGGGCTTTTTAAGCATGCTGTCCGCCGACTGGAAGATAGCTGGATCCTTCTTGTTCAGGCCTCAGACTTTCTTTGCCCACCTTATCTCAAGTACCCCCTTTCACTATATCACTGTATTTTTTTCTTTCACAGCACTTATCACACTCTGTAATCAATCTATTTATTCACTTGTTCACTGTCTTTTCCTCCACTAGAATGTAAGTTCCTTGGTATCAGAGGCTGTACTTTTTGTCTCCTGCTGTATCCCTAGCCCTTATGACAATGCTTTTCAAGTAACGTGTGTTCACAATATTTACTGAATGAATAAATGAATGATCTTGACTGCTTCAATGACCTCTTGATCTCTCCCTGTTTTTTTCATGCTTCTCCATAAGACACAGACTCAAGGAAATTTGAACTTGCTTCTCATTGACACATTAATTCTCATTGCACAAAATCAAGGAGTCCTGAGAAATGAGGGCACTCAAGGCCAACTGTGGGGCCAGTAGAATTGGGACTGACTGGTACGGTGACTGTGTCTGGTGCCAGCTCTGCTGCCTGCTGTGACCTTGAGCAACTCACCTCAACTGACCTTGAGCAGGTGAAGTGGTGATATCAAAATCTCAATGATATAGGGAAACTGTAAAAATCAAATGAAGATGCACATCAAAGAGCTTGTACACTGCAAAGGGTTAGAAATATAGGGAAAGTTTTCTTCCCTTTCAGAGGATGCCAATGTCTTCTTCCCACTTACCTCTCCAGGATTTTCCTGCTTTCAGATGCAGGAAGATGCTGTGCCAGGACTGAGTCCTTCTTCTCCACCATCTCCAGCTGCTCTGACTGGGCTCACTGTCCCACCCAGGGCATGGCACCTGCCAATAAGCATGGGGCTGGTGGGTACTGCTGACAGCTTCCAAGGCGCAAAGACAGGGATGCTTGGCACACACCGGTTGATGCGAGAACCGTTTTTCTTCTGGGCCTCAGTTTTTCTGTTAGGGAAGCAGGCTTCATTATCTCATCTTCCAAGACACAAAGACAGTCATCAATACTAGGCAGTGGCAGGGTAGATGCTCCCAGAAGATACCAGGGAGAGCCAGAGTCACTTAGCCTCAGGACTTCAGGTGTGCCCAAGCTTTCCTGCAGGAGGTAATGCCTGTTTGTCTTCTTTTAGTTTCTTGGAGCCAAAGGTTCCTCCTTTAGCTATTAAAAAGGGGATTGTTTACTTAGTGGGCCAGAAGAGCTATCCCAACCCCACAGAGATTATTCAGCCTGAATATTAAAAACAATCTCCTGTACTTGTAATGTATGGGAGAGAAAATCCATTTTAAATCAGATTCTCTTTTGATGTTTTTGTCGCAGTCTCCTCTGCTGGCTTCTTACATATTGCTAATCCCTATGTTGGTCTTCCACATTGAGGGAGATTTTACTTAGCTGAAATTCAGAAACCTGGGAATGTCTTTTTTTTTTTTTAATTGGGGAGTTGGGGGAAGGGGGACATACAAGTTGCTGTTGTTTTGTTCTTCAGTCTAATTGTGGAGGATGTTGCTTCACTGGCCCAAGTTGGCACCATCATTGCGCTCTTCCGGGGCGAGGCAGATCAGTTGCCGGCTTCTGGACGGCTGCTCACTGCGGCTGCTGGCTACACACAGTAGCCCATGACAACCCACTGCAGCAGGGGACTGCGACCTACGCTGTTGCCGGCGACTTACGGCAGCCCAGTTCCAGGTTGAGCTGTTGTTCAGCATCTTAGCTGTAGAGGGCAGTGTCACTGGCCCTCATATGTGGGATCCGAACTGGGGTCCTCTGGCATCCCAAGCCAGTTCTTAACCAATGCGCCACTCAGCCAGCCTGTTTTTTGTTTTTCTTTAGTGCCTTCCTTCTCCATATTGTCTCCCAACCTGCTGCCAGCAGGGATTTTTCCAAAGCACAGTTTTGATCTTCTGGCTCAGAAATCATTGGTTACTACTGCCAATGGAATAAAGTCCACATTCCTTACCTGGGAATCACAAACTGCCACAACTCACTTTTTAGCTTCAGATTGATTGACTGATTTCAATATAAATTAAATCATAGGATATGTATCAGTTATGATTAGGTTCAGAGAAAGCCCAAACATTACGGGGTTAAATAACATAGAAGCTTATTTCTTAAGTAAAATGTATTTCTCAAGTCCCAAGGTGGGCAGTCGGGGCTTCTGGGTGTCAGGGACCCAGGTTCCTGTGATCTCATTGCTGTCCCATTCTTAACACAGTCAAAGATGGCTATGCAAATTCCAAGAATCCTGTTTGCATCCCAGCCAGGAGGACGGTGGAAGGGGAAGAAAAAGTGCAGGACAGATGCTGGCTATATTTTAAAGAGATTCCTAAGAAACTGATACCTCCCACCTCTGCTCATATCACAAGGGTCAGACTTGTCTGCTGCAAGGGAGGCAGGGAAAACAGTGTTTGTTCCGGCTTACCATATACCCACCTATAAGTCATCAGTTTTAATTCTTCAGAAGAAAATGGATGTTTGGGGAAAATGAGAAGATTCCAACATAAATGTCCTGCCTCTATACCTTTGATTAAACTGGTCCTTTAGTCTGTAATGCTTGTCTCTCCCCTGAGAAAACAATAACCATCCGTGAAAGCCCAGCCTACATGTCACCTCCAGGCCCCTCGAGGTACTGTTCTCGGGACATTTTGCAGAGCGCTCCATGAGGTCTCTAACTGTGGTGTTATGAACGTTCGGCCTGCCTGCCTCCTCTGAGTCTATACCAGGGGCCTACTCCTTCTCCATGGCTGAAGGCTCATCACTCCCATTAAGCCCAGCTCCGTGGACCGCCCCTGAAGAACCTAATCTTAACGGTCACTCCTGTAGCCTTTGGGGAGCCCCCCACTCCCTCTCAGGCTTTTTTTCACTTGCCCACATTGGCCATCTGTACAAATCATGTCCCACTAACTTTGAGAGTAGAGGATGGGGGGATGGGAGGGACTTGGGTGAGTTGGGGCTGATCCTGTGCACCCGTGTACAAGGTGGCAAATCTTATCCAGAGGGCACTTGCAGACCTTCCCCAGCCCCAGGCTGAAGCCAAGTCCTTTCTCCAGAGGACACATAAGATGCTCCCAAAGGCAAGAGGGTCATGACAGGGGCCTGTGCACACGCTGGCATGCAACTAAACCTCAAGTGTGCCCTGGCCTTCCCGGCCAGTCTTCCCACATCATCACTCCATGGCTTAACACCCTGAGTGCCTTCCCTGGTCTTCAGGGTAAGTCCTGACTTCATGACCCTTCCTGCTCTGGTCCCTGCCCACCGTTCCCACCTCAGTCCTCACATTTCCCCCACGTCTTAAGCAGTGGCTATGCTCACCTGCTGGCAGTTCCCCGAGTGCCAGTCTCTCTGGGGACTCCAAACTCTCACATGTGCTGGCTTTGCTTGGTCCCCTTTTCCTGCTAGGCCTTCAAGATGTGCTGTGACCACACTTCCTCAGGGAAGCCTTCCTTAAACTCTGAGGCAGAGCTGCAGGGTCCCCTCAGCCCCGGGAACATCTCTGTACTTGTCATTAGCGTACTGTAAAGGCCTATTCTCTGCACGAGGCTCAGCAACTGGAGGGCCAGCCCAAATTTCTCACGGGCATCCTTAGTCTCAAGCACACGAGGCACCCAGTAAGCTCTCCTGAATGAGATTCTTGAGCTAAGGGACAGAGGGCCAGGTGATAAGGAAGACATCCCAAAGTCTCTAGTTCTTTGCTTTGGGTGAGGGAAGTAACACCAAAGTCATACAATGTCAAACTCTTCTCTTTGAATAAAGCTACATTGTCCAGGGCCCACCTTTAAGCTTCACCTCAGGAAGGCACCGACCCCAGGCCTAGGACAAGACCTTAGTGACGCTCTCTCAGCACCTCACATGTGTCTTCTTTAGTACATTGATCACTATGGGAACTATTGGTTTAATGTAGGGTTTCTCATCAGTGTCACTGTGGCATTTTGGGCTGGACAATTCTTTGTTGTGGGGGGCTGTCCTGTGCGCTGTAGCATGTTTAGCAGCATCCCTGACCTCTACCCACTAGATGCCAGTTGCACCCTCTCAATTATGACAACTCAAAATGTCTCCAGACATTATAAATTTGTCCCCTGGCGGTAAAGTGACCTCAGGTTGAGAACCACTGGCGTAACGTGTCTCCCCAGTTAGCATGGACGCTCCAGGTGGTGGTCCAGCCACCTGAGCCCGTATTTCCTCGGTTCCTCAGCCTGGCTCCCCCGTGCAGCTGGTCCTTCCCCCGGCCCCAGACTAAGCTGCACCCACCTGAGAATGCGTCAAACTTTCCTTGTTTGAAGGTTCTCCTCTGTGGGCTTGGACGGCTTGAGGGCAGAGATCGTGTCTCACTGGCTTTTGTACCTGCCAGGCCCACCCCAGCTTTGCTGTCAGGGTCTCAGGAAATGATTGCTCAGGGACAAAAGGAGGACAGGCAAGGGGTGCGGAGCTTCTCAGTCCCGGGATATGGCAGGAGCACGGTGATGGGCCTTCTCAACAGGGATGACTTCTATTGGTTTTTGTCTTTAGGAAGTTCAGACTTTATTAGACACCCTGAGCTGGCCCTGGGGGAAGCCTTGGCTTGCTTCACAGCTCTCCTAGTGCAAACTGCCAGTGAGGAGAGGAGCAGCCCGGGGAAGGATGCGGGCCCTGGCTGAGGGGCCAAAGCCAGTCTTGCTGAGCCGTTTCCCCTCCCACTTCGCTCTGGCTCCTCGGGGATGATCACATGGTGAAAACCTGCTTCGTAGACACGAAGGGCTGCATCGAGGATTCCAAGGCACGCTGGTGGTCCTGCAGTGGGACCTCGGAGCAGGCAGGGGCCGTCAACTGGCCTCGGCGGATGAAATCACACAGTGTGAAGATCAGCTCCTTGAACTGGTCTGTAGGAGGTTGGGGGAAATCAGATGGGGGAGCAGCAGGAGGGCTTGGCAAGATGGCATCCGTGGGTGTCACCCCTGCCAGCAGGAGCTGGTGCTGAACTCTAGGAAAGCCCAGGGCTTGGCCACAGATGGGGTGGCTGTGGAGGCTGCCTGGTCCCCCCCACCTGTGTTTAGGACAGCGAGGGTCAGGGTGGGGACAGGGGAACATGGGGAGTGGCCCCAGGAGCTGGCGGGCAGGCAGAGTGGTGACTAAAATGGCTCAGACCCACAGAACTTGACTGGGGTGTAACCGGGAGTCCCGAATATGGGAGGGGCAGGATTACTCTGAGGCAGGGAAGCTAGAAAAGGCACAGGCAGGGAGGTGGGTGTGCCTGGCACACCAACTGATGTGGAACAAATGAGCTTGCCCAGGAAAAGGAGCTCTCCCTGAGGGCCTCTTACTCCCTTAGAACCCCAAGAGTTGAGGCCACTAACATCCTCTCCCACTAAGGACCCAATATGGTACAGGAAGATGAGAAGTGAAGGCCTAAGCTGGGAAGTGCTGTTTTTCGTAGACATCAATTAATTCAACATTCAAACCTAATCATATCCCCTGCTTAAAAACACTTCAATGGCTCCCTAATGGCCTTTAAGACAGACTCTGAACACCTTTTGTAATCTGGTCACAACCAGTCTGTCTGGCTTCCCATTCTCTCTGATGCTACTTTTTCCTGCCTGAAACACCTCACTCACGCCACCCCTTTCCTCCCCTTCACTTTGATAATTCCATGTTATTCTTCAGTCTTAGTTGGGGGTGGGGGGGTGGAGGGTGGGGGCGGGGTGTCACTCTCTGGGGGGGCCAATCCTCTAGTTGAGGAAGAATGGTGTACTGGCTCAGGCGCTGGAGTCAGAGAGATTAGCTGTTCACATCCTGGCTGCACACTCCCTGGGTGGGATGGCTCTGGCCCAGTTACTAACTACTCTGAACCTCAGTTTCCTCCTCTGTCAAACAGGGCTAACAACAATTTACTGAGGCAGAGGTTAAGTACCTTGTCCAGGTCCCATAGCTAGGCTAGGCAGAGCCCACAACCACAGATGGCAGAGGCAGGGCTGGAGCCCAGGTAGGCTGGCTCCAGCGTGTGTTCTCCTTACTTGGCTGTCTCCCGTGCCAGTTTTCCCCACTGTCTGCTCCTCAGAACAGGGGCAGTGTCCGCCTTGTTCAATGCTGTGCCCCCAAGGACTGACCCACTTTAGTCTAATAACTATTTGCCGACTGTAGCTGTAGTTAGAGACTGTTTTCCTTTATTCTGTTATGGGGTTGGGGCTCCAGTCACCTCTCCAGGACTCAGAGTGGCCGGTCATGTCTGCGGTAGGCACTAACCTTTTGTATGACCCTGGTAATGGAGCCATCACCCACTCACCTGGACTGTGGTCTGTCTTCCACTGGGACATCCAAAAGCCCCGAAGTTTGAGATCCTTAAAAATAAGCAGGCTCTGTGGACACAGGAAGGACATACTGGGGCTCTGAGGGCAAAGACTTCAGACACCATTTAAGGAGCACATTCCTCCCGCAAGGACAGGGCAGTGCCTGAGGACAGACCCCTGTGGTGTCCAGTCTCGGGTCTCTAGCCCTGCCTCCCCCCAGCTTACCACAGGCACTGTCACGGGCTGCTTGGCCATCCCCCCGTAAGTCACCATGGTTCCTCTGGGCCTGAAGGGTCAGAGAGAACAGAGTGGGTGCAGGCGGAATCGGAGCCCTTCTGGAACCCACCACAGCGCTTCTATTACAACCCTGGAGCCTAACCTTGCTTTCAGAATCCCTGGGAAGGGTCAAAAAATAGATTCCTAGGTCCAACCCCAGACCCAATGAACCAGGAGGCCAGGATCTATATTGAAAACAACAATCCCCGCTCCAGACGACCTGGGTGTTTAGGCAGAGTTGGGAACCCACTAATCTAACCACCCAGTCAGGCTTTGACGAGGGGTTGCCAAGAAGGGGGCTCTGCTGAGAAAAGCTCAAGGCCCAAGTTCGGTCCGGCTCTACTCCACTTATAGGTATGCACCTACGGGCATGGCATTGACGTGGGTCCAGGTTGCCTCGCCTCCTCTACCTGCTTGCAGAGGACCAGTGAGAGGAAGTAGCTACAGGTGAAGGAATGGTGTGGCTGGTGTAGAGGAAGAAGGCGACTGTCCTCTCACTGCAGGAGGGGCCTTGCCAGGACCTGCTGCCTGAAACCCACACCCACCCCAGCAGTCAACCAGGAGAGAGGCTCATGTGAATTTTAAAAGCTAATAAGCATCACATGCTCGATTTACCCTGCGTTCCCCTCCCTACCACCTGGATCTTTTTGGAGTTCATCGATCAAGGATGAGCATGGGGACTTTGTAAACTACAAAATGGAAACGGCTGCACAAGGCAGGTAACTCTTTGTCCCTGAGGCTGGTGGGTGGTTTGGTCTTAACTTCCCTTCAACTGCCACCTGTTCCAGAAAGTAGCTCCTGGGAAGACGAAGCCCTCCCTCCCTGCACCCCCACTGCACTTCATCTCATCAGAATCATAACATTTATGGGGTGTTTACTATGTGCCCAGCACAGGCCTGAGCACTTTACATGCACTGGCCCAGTGAGTCCTTATTGTGACCCTGGGGAGCATTTTATTACGCTCGTTTTGCAGATGAGAAAACTGAAGCCCACCCCTCATTTGTATAGCGATTTATGCATTACCTCAGTGTTCCTCAGACTAAACTTCTGAGGCAGAAAGGGTTTACATCCCCCCCCCACTTTACAGGTGAAGAGACTGAGGCCTGGATAGTTTTCCATGAACTGCCTGACTGTTCAGAGGTCCGCAGCTTGTCAGTAGCAGAGCTGGGACTGGAACCCGGCCTTCCTGACTCCAATGCCTACGCTGTAACCACTGCCCAAGTTTCCTCCTACAACAAGTGACATGGGGGTTGCAGCCTGCCTTGGAGGCTGCCGGGAGAAGGGCTGAAGAGGTGTGCTCACAATAACTCGGGTCAGGCCTGGCTCAGCCGCTTCCTAGACCTTGGGTAGGTAATTATGCAGTCTGGGCCTCGTACAAACAGGGATGGGAACGTCTAGGTGATTGAGGGTAAATCGAGCGCTCTGCACAGCGTCCCGTGCACGGTGAACACTCAGTGATTGTTGTCACGATTCTTTGACCACATGACCCATCTTCCCATCTAGGCTGGGAGCTCCAGAGGGCACCCCCAGTGTCTTGCCATCTCTGAATCCCGTAGCTAGCGAGTGCTGGCAAACATGTGTTAACTAATGCTGTTTAGAAACGGGAGTCCTGCTTTAGCTGGGACGTGTCCTTTCAGGTGGCCCTCAGCTCGAGGAGCTTACAGTAAAGGAAAAAAGAACGGAAGGACATGCGCTGTTCACATCATCAACAGTGCTTATCCCCCTCGGTGGTGGGATGATAGGTAACTTTGGTGCTATAAGTTTTCCTTTGTACTTTGATATGCTTTCAAAATGTTCTGTAATTAACACACGTTACCTCCAAAATTAGAATCTATTTTTAAAAGCTAATAAAAAACCTAAAAGCTAATAAGCTAGGGCTAAGTGGCATTTTAAGATGCCCCTAGGTCCTTAACCATTCCCCTGTCACAGAGCCTAGCAGTCTACTTCTGGGGTCCCTTGGACAAATAAATCCAGATGGGTTTCTCAAGTCACTTACAAAGGAGGTGGCTGGGAAAGGAAGTGCCCGGATAACTAGGCCGTGGCTTTGGTACCAGTTTCCTACTCAGGGTCATGTTGACCTGGCCTGGGCTTGCACTGGCCATTGGGACTGGTCACTTGATGGTCCTCCTAGCTAAGGACCTGGAGCGCACCGGTGAGCTGGACCTGCGGGCCGAGCAACTTACGCTAAGCACCGAAGCAGCTCTGTGGAGCTTTTCCCGCCGACACAGTTGAGAGCAAGCCGCGGCTGGGGCATGTCCTGGAAAAGAAGGGACCTGCAGTGAGGGAGCCACCCCTCTTCCTGTGGGGTCTGAAGCTGCTACAAACAGCCCTTCCCTGGCCCACATACTGTGTCAGAGGAGGGAGCCAGAAGACAGACCGAACTCCCTTTTTTCTCTGCCCTGGAAGGGCCTTTTCTTTACAGCCTAATCCTGTTATCTGTTTTGGGGTTTTGTTCAAAACTCCCCTCCTCTGGGAAAGACTAGACAAAGGGTATCCACAGTCCGTTTCGAAGGACTTCATTTCCCTGTGTGCCTCTTCTCAGCACTGAGAGCTCCGTTTATATTAGATGTGCTGATCTACTGCTTCAGAAATGTTCTCAAGAGGTGTGTATGGTTCCTTCAGCGTTCAGTGAAAAGAGGCTGTGGTTTGGTCACTTACTAAGTGTGCTAGAGGTTCTGGTCACTTAGAGGTTTTGGAAGGTTAAGAGGCACTGAGTTTGGAGAGGCCTGGAGCAAGCCCTAACTCCCCACTTACAACTGTGTCAAATCTTTTATCTTTTCTGAATCTTGGTTTCCTGATCTATAAAATAGATAGCACCTACTTTGTAGAGTTGTGTAGTATTAATCAGATAAAATGTAAGGTAAGTGCCTAGGAAATGCTACCGTATTTTGCTGTGTATAATGCACACTTGTTTTGCCCAAATTTGTGAGGGAAAAATAAGGATGCGCATTATACATGGGTGGTACTAATTCCGTATATATTGGGTTGTCGGAAAAGTCATGACGCATTTTTGCAATGAAAAACATAGAAAAAATACGTCATGACTTTTCTGACAATACATAAAATTTCTTGTTCCTTGTATCTGTTCTTGAGGTTTGTAATTATTTGTTACATATAATTTCTTGTACCATAATATGTTAAAAACTAAATGCTAAGGGCCAGCCAAGTGGCTCAGTTGGTTAAGAGCTTGCTCAAGAGTGTGAGCTCTGAGCAACAGGGTCGCCGGTTTGATTCCCGGCCCGAGCTGAGCTGCCACTGAGCTGCTGCCAGGTGGCAGGATGGCTCAGCTAAAAAAAAAACAACAAAAAAACCCCTAAATGCTAAAATTCCTTTATAATACAAAAAATCAAGTACCTTAATGTAAACAAATAAACATTTGAATTAAAAAACTAAAATATTTTTTCCCTGAACGCTTGGGCCAAAAATGTGGGTGCACATTATACACAGGAGTACATTATACATGGCAAAATACGGTACGTCTTTCTTTCTTTCTCCTCTCTGTGCCTCAGTTTCCTCGGGTCCTGTCTCAACTCTGGGATGCACATTGTCTGTGCGGGCTGATGGCCCACCACAAATATTCAAAACTGCAAATCATACAGGGTTTCTGAAGCCGTCTTCTCTCCTGCCTCCCTGCCGGCATCTGGGTACTTGATGCGTGCTGTCCCCTGGCTGAGGGGTGGGCTTTAGCCTTCCATGAAGAGATGAAGGGAGGATGTGAAGAGGAACAATGGGGTGAGTCCCCAGCTTTTCTAGTTCAAGCCAACTTTCTTCAGGGAGGTGAGCATGGAATGGAGGTGCAGTGTCCCCTATCCCAGGTACCTTAAACAAGTTTTTCATCTCAGGCTTTCTCAGTTCTTCTTCTGTGATAACATGCTCAGCCCCCAGACCCTTCAGCCTGTCAGTCAGCTTCTGGAGGTCAGGTCTGGAAAGCAAACACAATCCTTGGTCACACCTGCTCACTTTCTCCACTGAAGTTTCCTAGGACCCCTTTGCTACAGCTGTGAGAGTGTGAGTTTCTCTTCGCGGGAAGCTGGGATTGGGTGTAAGCCAGGCCTCAGGCAGGGGCTGGCCACTCAGTTTCATCGGACGCCAGCATCTCTTGGCCTCAGTTTCCTCATTGGCATGAGAGAGCTAGACTGGGAGATTTCTACAGCTCCTGCAAGTTCAAGGATGCTAGAAACCATCTGTGCCCAGGGAAGAGTCATTTCACTTCCTGATTTCTTCTACTGAAATGACAAACTCCACTTCCTTTCTGCCCCCTCTTTTTTCAAGGGGCTCCTCAGAGTGTTGTGCAAACATGCTCCAGCCTAGGAGTGGCTCTGGCCTCTTTGGCCAAGGTCAACAATAGTTTTGTTAGCACAACTGAGGGCATAAAGAACTGAAGTGGGTATCAGTTCTCCTACTAAGACTGAACTTCCAAGACAGACACGGCCCCACTCGTGGACAGTGAGGCTTAAGAAAACTGGAAGATATGAGGGAGAGAGAACAAGTCAGGAAACTAAGTCTCTTACTGACTTGCTGTGTCTCCCTGAGCCAAGTGCTTCCTTTCTGTGAAATTTCAGTTTCCTCATTGGTAAAACAGAGATGACAAACCTGCCCCATCTCCTTCAATCTGTATTTAGTGCACTTCAAAGTACACACAGAATGCAAGGGAAAGGGGCCCTTGGCTAGACAGTTCGCAGAATAACACAGCTTAAAACACTCCTGTCGGGTGGTGGGTTAGCTCAGGTGGTTAGAGCGCAGTGCTCACAACACCAAGGTTGCCGGTTCGACCCCCGCATGGGCCACTGAGATGCGCCCTCCACAACTAGATTGAAACAACTACTTGACTTGGAGCTGATGGGTCCTGGAAAAAACACACAGTTCCCCAATTAAAAAATTTAAAAAAATCTTTAAAACATTCCCACATGCGCTTTTGAAAACATGGGGTTATCATGAGTCAAGAATTTCAAAAACTCCGCTGTCTCCACCTCCTTCCTGCCCTCCCTTTACATTGAAAAAATTCACTCATCCTACTGCCAGACGCCACCTGGACTTCATATCTCTGGGCTGACTCATCAGCGACCAAGTCGCGTCCTGTCCAGAGAGGAGGCCTGCTTAGGCAAGGGAGCCATCTGGTGGACACGCTGGGAGGCGAAGCAGAAAGGCCCAGGTCCTGATCTGGCATTGGGCCTCCCCACGCACCTGTCTCGGACCACATTGACGGTCCTCAGGCCCAGAGCTGCGGCGATCTGGATGACTGCTTGCCCCACTCCACTGTTGGATGCATTCTGGATGACAGAATCCCCTGTGGAGCCAGGAAGAGACCCACATCAAGCCCTGGAGCCTTGAAATAGGTCAAGGGCTTCCTGCCTGAGAGTCCATTATATAAGGCAAGAGAGGGAGTGCTCAGGCTCAAAGGGGACCCGGGACCTGGCTGTTGCTCACTCTTCTCCCAGTGACCCCAAACTTCCACAACACCCTTGGTGCCTCCTAAGACTCAGCAACTCAGAGTCTACACTAGACGTAATTTAGACTCTGCTGTGGAAATGATTTTTTTCTTTTTTTTTTTAGCTGAGCCATCCTGCCACCTGTTGGCAGCTCAGCTCAGGCCGGGACTCGAACTGCTGTTGCTCAGAGCTCGCCCTCTTGAGTGAGCTCTTAACCAACTGAGCCACTCGGCCGGCTCCCTGGAAATGATTTTATATCCTCCATCATCCTCCAATTTTTATGTCCTCAAGTCTCTGTTTAGGTTACATCTCTGGTTTGCAATGCTTTTCTCTTTCTCTGTGTTTTGAAATCCTGTATATCCTTTGAAGCGCAGCACACGTGTGGCTTCCTTCCTGAAGCCTTCCCAGACTCTCCCCTCTATGTGCTCCCACAGCACTCTGCGGGCATCTCTGTCAACATACGTGGTCTGCCTCATCTTATACGAGGTCCATTTGTACCAAGAGCTTGCAGCTTCTCAAGGGGAGGGCCGTGCCTTGTTTCCCCTCTGTACTGCTTAATAAAGGCGCACTGCCTTGAAATGGGATCAGAGCCGTAGTAGAGAAACCAGCAGCCTCTGAAACACAGTCCTATGGATAGTCTGTGGTCTAAGCCCAGGCCCAACTTTGGAATTAGTCAATGGGAGAGGCAGTGTGGCACGTGAGGAAAAATGTGGGGTCTGGAGTGAGACGACCCTGGGTGTGAGTCCCAGCTTCACCACTGAGTGTAACTGAACGAGACGGGGCACGTCATGGCCTCTTTGAACTGCAGTTTCCTCCCCATAAAACAGGAGTCCTGTGAGCACCAGTCAGGGTGCTCCTGATTAGTCAATGCCCTTTTGTCCAAGAAGGTGCTCTGTTACCCCTGAAATGCTATGTGGGTTTTGAAAGTAGCAGGGTCTGGCTCTAGAAACAGAGGACTTCCTGGAAGAAGAATGCCCATTCTCCTCAGCTGGGGTCAGCATACAGGTTGTAAACTCATTAGTGGGTTATAAAATCAACGTAGTGGGTTGTAAGTAGCATTGTTTTTTCAGTTAAAATAGAGGAAAATAAAATACAAAATAGTGGAGTGCATCACACATAGTAAGGGTAAATATTGTTCCATGAAACTTTGGTTTCCATTATATATATGTATACATATGTATAATATGTGTGTGTGTATATATATATATATTTTTCATGTATGTCTATGTACTGGATTTCAAAGTAAGTGTAATTCTCACTGTAGGTCAAGGCCTTAAGTTTAACATTGATGTAACCCAGGCCACAGCAGCCCCAAGGAGGAAAGTGGAGACAGGCCCTGTGGGCACCTGAGGTGGGGTGTGTCAGAATGCCTCGATGTGCCCACCACAGCGGTGGCCCAAATCAGGGGTGGCCTGAAGGGACGAGACACAGATGACTGAAGTGTCTGCTGCACTAGGACTTGAGCCAGTGTCCCTGGTCACACCTGCTGGCTTTCTCCACTGAAGTTTGCTAGGACTGGTCTGCCACAGCTGTGAGAACCGGCATTTCTCTTTGCGGGATGCTGGGACTGGTTTTCAGCCAGCCTTGGGCAGCAGTGGCCACCTAAGTTTATTAGACTCCAATGTCTCTTGGCTTCAGTTTCCTCATTGACATGACAGAACTAGCCTGGGTGACTTCCACGGTCCTACCAGCTTGCGGATATGCAGTGTGCAGGGTAACCCTCCCGCAAAGGGGCCTGAGAGTCAGTGGGTTTGGTGGTTAACTCTGAGGTAGGTTCTGTGAGGGCTGTTGGAGGGCCACCCCAGCAGGACTGAGCCCTGGCCTCCAACAGCAGTCACCAGCTTCACTGGCTTCTCCGTCCCTGTCTCGCTCTCCCCACTCCCTCACTCCTGCTTCCTGGGGTCACCTCCCCAGGAAGCTGTCTGCCCCCAGTCCTTGTCTCAGGCTCTGCTTTCAGGGGCCCCCAAATAAAACACCTGGCTTTGTCATTTCCTTGCTAAGTGATCGCATGCTAATAAATGACCTCTGTGGACCTCCATTTCCTCACTTATAAAAAGGAAGACTAATAAAAGCAGCACTGTATGCCAGGCCCCGGGCTAAGTGGTACACTGCAGTGTTGCAGCTGATCCTCAGGATTCCTTAGTCTCCATTTTACAGACGAACAGCCTGATCTGAGAGGTCAGCGCACACAGCAAGTGAAAGGTGAAGCTGGAGTCCTGACCCAGGCTGTTAGCCTGCGGCTTGAGCTCTTAACCGGGATCAGCCTCATTGCACAGCTTTGGCGATTTAACCCCTTCAATGGGGTAATGTGAGCAAGGGCACTTATGTGAACTGGAAAGTGCGACATAAATGCTGAGCGGAATTACTAACACCAAGTTCAGCATTTTATTGAAAACACGGGGACTGTGTCTATCTTGTTTGGCTTTGTATCCCCAGGGCTTAGCACAGCTTGATACGTTTTTGCTGGATGACAGAATTCCATCCCCAGCTCGAGGAATGCGGTCCTTCAGCGGTTTTTTCCGGAGCGCATGCCTCACGGGGCTCCAGCATGTTTTCTAGGAACCAAGCTAACATCTTTCTAAGCAAAAGCAACAGCAACACACTTACCCAGGGCAGGGGTGGTCTTCCTCTCCTGGAAGTCCCCGTGGCCTCAGGGCCAGGATTTGGGTCACACCCCAGTCGGAGATCCTGGCCTGCACCTCCTACCTGGCTTCAGCTGCTCGAAGTCCATCAACATCCTGTAGGCCGTGCAGGGATTGACAGCTAGGGTGGCAGCACTCTGAAGAGGGATGTCACTCGGGACGGCTACCAGGGCTTCCTCGCTGAACACAGCCTCGGTCCGCCAGGTTCCTGAGTCAGGGGAGGAGGCCAGGGCAGTGAGGAAGGACCCCGCTCCACACTCGACCCCCGTCCACCCTCCTCAGTAAATGGGCATCTAGGACAGCAGACTTCAAACAATGTGTAGAGAAAAAAATCTTGAAGTCCTTTTGAATGTCTGTGAGTCCTCAGGATAATTAAGGCAGATTTCTGTTATTCCCATGTTAGCTACCGTTAGATGTAGCGCACGTCACCCAGCAGGTGGCTAAGGACCTCAAACTACTGGACTCTGAGGGCAGGACAGTAACATCACCACCAGGGCAGGAGACGCTGAGAAAGCCCCCATTTCCCTACTCAGTCCTCATTCTTCTCACCGAGGCCTGATGCACTTGGGGTGAGATTATGGGAAAAAGCATGAAAGTAGAAGTTGAAGGCCTAGGTGTGAGACCTGGTTTTGTCAGTCTGCTAGTTCGAGCAAATCCCAAAGTCACTGAGTTTTGGTTACTCTAATATATACGTGACATCAGCAAGACGAGCCTGACTGGCCTCCTTGGAGAGCTGTTGCACAAATCAAATGAGAGAAGGGAAATGAAAAAATCCTGTAAGCTGGAAAGAAATTGTCATTAAGCCCCAGCCCACATTTCAGTTCTAGAAGAATCGTAAAATGTCAGTACTAAGAAGGCCCGTAAGAGTATAGAGTTTAACCTCCTCATTCAACAGGGCAGGAAACTGAGGAAGTGACCTGCCCAAAGTTACCTGGCTAATCTGGGCTGCCTCCCTTCCATCTGCAGAGAACCTGTCCTGCACCTACTGTGAGCTCGGCACTTGAACAACACAGACACGTCCCTTACTTGCATGGAGCTTTCATTCTAGTGGAGTAGAACAGGCAAGAAACAAACAAGCAAATACAATGATTATAGATTATAAAGAGATAGAGGGACAGTGGAGAGAGTCACCTTAGATGGGCGTCAGGGACAGCTTCTCTGAGGAGGCAGCAGGCTAAGAGTGAAAGGATAGCGATGCTAGCTGCTCAAAGAACATTCTAGGCAGAGGAGAAAGCATATACAGAGACTCTGAGGCAGGACAGATATAAGAATGGAACTGGAAGAATACACACTGGAGGGCAGAGGGTGATGGGAAGAGTGACTTGAGATGTGGTTGATGTGTCATGGGCTAGATGAGTGTTACGTAGAAGTTCATGGTGTTGACCCACAGGAATCATGAGTTATGTTGTAACTCAGTATATAGACATATATGAATATATATATCTCAGAAGCCAAATTTTCATGGAACAATATTTACCCTGCCCTCTTATTCTTTCTTCTAGTCTGCTTGATGTTAGTAAAAAAAAAAATGTTTCCCACTCACTAAATTGATTTAGCTAATGGGTCACAAAGTGCAGTCTGAAAACACAAGGCTCAGGGTCAGGGCATGGAGAATGGATTTTATTTTAGTGAACGGGAAGCTTCTAATGAGCTTTAAGAGAAGTCTGAGGCAATTGGATTTATGTTTTAAGGTCATGTTGTTGCTGTGTGGAAAAGATGGTGGGGTGACGAGGGGCAGAGTGGAAATGGAGAGGCCCAATCAGGAGGCTTTCGGAGCGGTTGAGATGGAAGATGATGGTTGCCTAGACCAAGACTTCAGCAGTGGGGCTGAAGGAAAGTGGATGGATTCAAGTTATCTTTTGAAGATAGACTCAACAGGGTTGATGAGTACTGGGTGAGGGGTGGCAGGTCCTCACCCATGCAAGCAGGATCCTGTATAAAGCAGAGGGGAAGAGGACAGACCTTGGAATCAGATGCTTATTTAAGCCCTGGCTCTGCCAGGTACTCGCTAGGTCACCTCAGGGAAACTATTATTATACCTGTAGCTTTGTTGGTGATGAGCCAGTACCCTGGTGGCTGTGATGTCTCAGGGCGCTTGGCCTACACTTCCAAAGCTCGCGAATGTGTGCATTCACTATCCAGTTGCTGGGATTGTAACAGCACCCTGGAACTACATGGCCGGGGTGTGGGGAGGAGGGGCAGCCCAGGCGACCACTAATCGCGCGGCAGGAGGGGAGGAACAATGTGGGCTTTCAGAACCAGGAATTGGGGGTGGGAGGCGGGAACACTCTTTATTAAAGGCTGTGTCAATCTCAGAGTATTTCTGTGGCTGAGGAAATAAGAGGCTGAAAAACCCAAGGATTCCTTGGGAATCCAGGAGGTGCCTTGGCGTTCTCTGGCTTTACTCAGCCTGGTTTTCAAATTTTCATCATCCTCTTCATGATCATCACCCCTTCATCTTCACCAACACTTACTGTACTCTCCTCTGCACCAAAGGCTTGGTGCATGGCTTTAATACATGAAATCAAGGGTGACTTCTAATTCCTCCAAATGGCACGGCAGTGGGAATCCAGCCCTTGGTGAGGGTTTCTGGGGCTTGCCAGTCCCTAATCCTCTTCTCGAGAGGGCCTGGGTGGGACAGGGACAGTGCCCACGGTCAACCCCAAGGGCTTTCAGGGCTTTAAATTGGAAACCCTTAGACTTTGGAGTTGGAGGGACCTGCTTCAAAACCCAGCTCTGCCACCCACTAGTGATGTGACTTCAAATTCTCACTTTGCCTTTTTTGAGTTTCATTTTTCCTGATCTATGAAATGCAGAGAATAACACTCACATTATAGTGTGAAGATTAAATGTGATGGCGTCTGCATCGACTATCACTGTGCCTCATTCGTAGCAGGTGTGTGACACCCCTTGGTTCCTTTTACTGATCCTAAGACCCATGTCCTCGCTCTGAGAAATGTCATTTCTCATGCATGTGCAACTGACCCACAACCATCTCCATCTTCTAATGCAGGGTCAGCAAACTACAGCCCAGGGGCCCAATCTGGCTCACCAGTTTGATTTTTGTAAAGTTTTATTGGAACACAGCCGTGCTCACTTTTTATGTATTGTTTATGGCTACTTATAACAGCAGAGTAGAGGCAGTGTGGCCTGCAAAGCCTAAATATTTACTAATTGGCCCTGTAAAAAAAGTTTGCTGACCCCTGATCTAACGCATGCTGTAATTTAGCATTTGCAAAGATCGCTGCATGTATTCCCTCAGTGGAGATGCTAAGAGTTGGCTGAAGTATGTGTGGTGACTACTGGCTCCATTTTAGAGACATGGAAACTGAGGCTCAAAGTAGTTGTGACTTAAACAAGGTCATGCAGGGGAGATGGAAGAACCTGCATCTGATTCTCAGGCCAGCGCTCTGTCTCCTGCCCTGTGTTGCCTCAGGAGGGTTTTACCGTATTTCCCCATGTATAAGACACACCCTTTTTTGGAAAAATTTGGGGTCTAAAAACTGGGTGTGTCTTATACAGTGGTTGTAGATTTCAAATGCCATAGATGGAACAGAGGACGAGGCAATATATGAAGACAGTGATTCGTCATCAGACACAGATGAGGACAAGCTAATGGTTGGGAGTTTTGACTGTGATGAGGAGTTGTATGAATTTTATGATGAATAAAACTTGAGTTCAATAACTTTATGTAATACATTTTTTTCAAATTTCGGGCCCCAAAATTAAGGTGCGTCTTATACATGGGAGCGTCTTATACACGGGGAAATACGGTAAGTGTTTCTAATGAGAAAGCCAGTTGGCACAGTCTCTGGCCATCTCCCCCGTGACTGGTGGGTTGCATGTGGGAAAAAGCTGGTTATGGGCACAGCAACAGCTGGGCAGCTCGGTATCATGAAAAGTGACCATGATCTGGCCAGTTGCGACTTATCTGCTTAATGATTGCCACTCTTACTAGTCTTCACAAGACCACGTCTGTTCACTGCTGTATGCTAGAGCCCACCAGACTGCAGATGCTCACAAAATGTTTACTGAATAAACTGAGTTAATTATAGTCCCAACGATTATAAAATCCTCATCCTCTCTGACTGGCACCTGGTTTAAAAGACTCACCTTTTCTCCAGGGAGAAGTCCCAATTCTGGCTAATCCCACCACCGCCACCAGCCATGCAATTACCCATACACCTGGCAGATGTCCTCTATTCTTCTCTCCAAATCTAATTACCAAGTCCTGTTACTTGAGCTCTTAAATCCAACTGTCTTCTCCAGTCCTATGGAACTGTCTTGTTCTGATGCTCATCATCTGAAGCCTGAACTGTTCAGCTACCTCCTTTGGGGCTTCCTGTCTCCACCCTCCGCCCTTCCAGAGCACTCTTTGCACTGCACAAATCTGATCAAATCGTTCCTCTTCTTAGCTCTTCATCAGGCCCCCTGTGACCGTGAAGGTGAGCCCTCCGTGACTGGGCCCCAGGCCTCGTCTCCAGCCTCATCTTGTTTCTTCCATCCCTCCTGACTTGGCCAAACTGAGCTACTGCAGTTCTGAGGGTGCTGTGCCTTCCCCCATCACCAGACCTTTGCACGTGCTGCACTCCCTACCTGGGAAGCCCTTCCTCACCTAGCCCACTGACTGTGCTTCTGCTCAGTCTTCCAGGCCAAGTTCAAGCATCACTTCTCTGGGGAGCCTTTCCTGATGCTTGCTGAGACTGGGGACTCTTGCCTTTGTGTCCATCCTGTGATTATAGCACTTATATTGCATTGTATTAAGTATTGTTTTTTCCACTCCCAGCTGAGAGAACTTTGCAGGCAGAGGCTGTCTGACCTGTCATGTGTGCCCTTCACTTAACATGGGGGCTGGCCCAAAGCACCAGTCAGTACCCAGTGAATCCTTGCAGCTCTCAATTTGCTCACACAGCTAGGCTTTCTCTGCCAGGTGGCTGTAGGTGAGGGTGAAGCCATTCCGGATCTCAGAGAAGCAAAGAACTTCCAGCAGACTTCTGTTACTATTTTTTCCTGCCTGATACCTTTTTCTTTCTAGAGTGACTCCTTCCTAAACTCTGGGGCTACCAACCACAGGGCCCCACACCCACCACAGAGGTGAGCAAGAGATTCAACTAGGCAATTGGAGTGGCCCAACCCCATCCCTCTGGTGACTGGTTCATGGTCGGGTGGGCAAGGACCCAGGTAGGGTTGGTTAGCATATCCCACCTTCCAGGGGATATGGTTGTGCTGAATGGATTGTGGATGATGTGTTTGTTTGTTTTCAAGATGATGTAAACCTCAGGTTGCTGGTGATCCTCTATGAAAGGTATACAACAGAGTGGGTTCAAATCTTAGCTCCACCGCTTATTGGCTGGGTGACCTTGGACAAGTTGCTTAATCCTTTACATGTACTATTGTCTCATCTGCAAAATGGGAATAATAATAGTATCTATCTCAAATTGTGGGAATAATTGAGTTAAATATTTAAAGGGCTTAAAACAGTGCCAGGTGCAAAGGGAGTAGTCAATTAATATTTGTTGCTATTACTATGTCACTATGTGGGGGTGTCCCACCTGAGAACTGGTAAGAACATGAGGAAGACAGGGCGCTGATATCATTGGGGTTTGTGGATCCAGCTCTGCCTGCAGCTTTCCAGCTCTTGCACTTCTCAGTTCAAGAAACCAATTAACTTCTTTTATTGTACAGAAAGTTTGAGTTGACTCTCTGTAAGTTATGACCCATAGGGTCCTTGCACTAGGGTGTAGCAAGAAAAACAGAGGAGACAAGAGTCTGGTGAGCTGTCTTTCAGTCTGCTGCTTACGTCTGGGAAAGGGCTTCTTTTTAAGCTTCAGTTCCTCATATATCCAAAAGGGATGGATAACGTCTGCCCTGCTGCTCTCTTGTGGCTGCTGTCAGGATCCATTTGTATAATGTTTATGCCTCAAAAACCATCAAGGGTAAAATAACAAAATTCACCATTGACTCCTTACTATATATAAAAGAAGACACTAACTCTTAGCTTGGCTTTTGCAGGGCCTCCCCCCATGTGGCCCCACTACCTTTGTCACCTTCTGTCTCACTTATGCAATCCCCTCCCATGTGCACCTCCTCTGCCGAGGCTACACTGGATTTTCCACCATTTCCCAAAGTCACCTTTGTGTCTTTGCTCATTTTGTTTCCTCCACAAGCAATAATTTTGGGCTCCTCTCCACCTCGCACAATTCATCCATCAAAGGTCTGTTCCAATGAACCTCCTCCAGGAAGCCCTGATCCTTCCCCAGCTTCCTATGAGCTTGTAACACTCTTCTTTATTGAGGTTATTGGTTTGGAGATTTCGTTAACTGGATCTTAACCTCCTGGAGGTTAAGTCCTATTTGTGTCCTTCACTGTACCTTGCAGCAGCGATTTCGGGATGTAGGGACTCAGAGAATCACAGCTCCAATCCACTCGGGCTCAAGGAGATGAGAGAGCAGGTTCATCACCTCTCAAGCAAAAGAAACACAATTCCTGCTCTCCTAGTTCAGCTCCCATGTCTCCTGGAGGTAGGTATGTGGACTTAATAATACACCCTGCATTGCTTAGTTGTTAGTCACACTGAGCTAATAAAAAAAATGTTTACAGTGTGGGTGAAATAGGATCTGGAACAAAGAAAGGCTGCAGTTACCTGGAGAAACTCACCCAAACCAGCTGTTCCAAGAATCACCAAGTCTCCTGGCTTCACCCTAGTCACACTGCTGCCCACTGCAACCACCTGTCCAACGCCTTCGTTCCCTCCAACAGCAGGCAGCTTGGGAAGGATGCCATAATTTCCTAAGGGAGAAGCGCACACAGGGTCATCCCACGAAGCTTGGGCAGTGAAAGCATGGATGTTGGGGTCAGACCGAAGTCTGATCCGGGTTCTGCTTTTGACCAGCTGTGTTACTAACCAACCTCTCTGAGCCTTAGCTTCTTCATCGATAGAGGGGGAGTTAATAATCTTTTGCGTTCATGGTTATGAGGAAGATTATATAAGGTAATGTATGAAACGAGCCCAGCATATCACAGGCATGTCATTATGGACGGCTTACTCCCCACTGCAATCTTCCTAACTCTGGAAAAGCCTCACAATCCAGAGAGGGGAGGCCAGAGGGAGCTCACACAGTCTGCAGACTCGCATATGGAGAACAGCGGGCTGCTAATCACAGGAATTTCACACCCACATCTGGGGAGGAATGAAAATGAGGTGGCCGCTAAGCAAAAAAGCCAATTAACATAAGCCGCGCAAACCAAGGTTACCTTGGATCATATTTATATCAGATGGATTGACAGGGGCCGCCAGCATCTTCACATGGACGTCTGATCCGCCCACAGCAGTTAGCTCCAGGTTCTTCAGTCTAAGCACAAAGCCAAAGAAAGATGTTAATGTTACCCAGGCTAGACAGGGCAGCTTTTGCTCAAATCATCTCTCCAAAGTAGGTCAGACAGCAACACTTTTGAGCTGCCATTGTGTGCCCAGGAATTCGGGTTCTGTCAGAAAAGGGAAAGGTGCTGTTAGGAATTAGCACAGGATACAGGTTAACTCTGTCATTACCTGCAAGTGACCTCGCAACCCCACTGCCCATTCTGGGGCAGAAAATAGTTACAAACTTCCGTTGGACGGGATTAGCCTTAGGTTTTCCAAAACTTGCTTATGAGAGTCACCTGGTATGCTTACTAACATAGATTCTCAGGCCCCAGCTCTTAACTGCTGAACTAGATCTCCAGAGAGGGGAACCCCAAGTAGTTCTTAGGAACAAGCACAACTGGGGAACCCTGGCCTTGCTCATTTGTTCTCCCCACTTTTCCCCCCTCACAATACGCATAGGGGAGAGGAGACATTTCCGTTAATTGCAGGGGGAGGGGGGGGTGGTGTGAGGGAAGTAGAGATGGCCTATATAGTTCAGAAAGAAATCTCTGGGTAACTGTTGTTCACCCCCTGGAGTGGTGTCCCTTCCAGATGAGGACTCTAGTCTGGCAGAAAGGACAATGGACAGAGAGCTGAGTGTCTTATGTGTGAAGCCTCACCATGTGATGGCTGTGTCACCCTGGGCAAGTTTCTTTCCTGCTCCAGGCCTCTGTTTCTCCATTTGTAAAATGGGGGTTAGTTTTTTTGCAGCTGTTTCTCAATCATGATGAGGCATGGCTTCCCTTACTTTGATCATGATCTGGTACAGGGATTGCCCAGATTGGTGTCCCCTGGGGTCTTGATCATTTCCAAGAGCCTTTTCCCATTTCAAGTCTACAAGTATGTGATAACTCGTGGTGGGCCCTAGGCATCATGGGAACTTTGATTAATGGGTGAAACCTGCTGCAGGGCTTTTGGGGGAGGCCCAAACCACAACGTCCACCTGTTACTTTTGTTTTCTTTTTTTCTTTTTTTTTTTTTTAGCTGAGCCATCCTGCTACCTATTGGTAGCTTAGCGGCTGCTTAGCTCGGGCTGGCATCGAACCGCTGTTGCTCAGAGCTCAAACTCTTGAGCGAGCTCTTAACCAACTGAGCCACTCGGCCGGCCCTTACTTTTGTTTTCTAAAGAAGAAAACCTTCCAACCAGAAAGCGCTGATCAGTATACTAGACTGGTAGGTCCTCATGATTTTTTATGACCAGATTCCTGTCTTTCTCCCTCAGACTTCATGCTTGCAATGTTTCTCTCTGCCCAAATGTACTTCTCAAGTAACAATTCTCTTCATTTTTACTTAACAAAGGCACATATAACTGCCAAGCAGAGGTTCTTAACACTAGGCAACAGTGCCACCGCACTAAGCTGATGTAATTCTAACTACTTCCTACAGAAATCTCACCTTTTAACTACACCTAAGGCTCCATCTTGGGATAAAAGTGTGACTTGCAAGACATCTCTCATACTAATAGTAATAATGGTAGCAGGTATTTATGAGGTCTTTATTACACACCAGGTCCTGCGTTAAGGGCTTTAAATATATGATCTAAGATGTAACACCCCTGGGGGCAAAGTATTGATATTCCCATTCTATCAAGTAGGAAATGGAGGCGCCTACAGATTATGAGACGTACCCAGGGTAAGATAACCGGTTAGTGGCAGGGCTTCTCTGCGTTCAGCCGGTGCTCTTATTCGCCTTCCTCTATATCAGCGTCCTGGAGGAAGTCTGGGAATCTCGGTGACTGCCTACAAGGACCCCTGGGGATCTGGGTACCCCAATCTGGGGAATCCCTGTACTGAATCATGACCAAAGTCAGGGAGGGTGTGCCTCACCATGACTGAGAAACTGCTGCAAAAAAGCAAAATAGTAACTCTACAGAAAATGGTTAACTAGGAAGAAGTTAATGACCAGGGCAGAGAGAATAAAGAAAGGGCTTTTAAAAAAAAATTGTTTTAACAGCTGGAGGAGGGGGCAAGTCCTTGTAATAATAATAAGTACTTTTTGAGTGCTTACCAGTGAGGCACTCTGCTAAGTGCTTTCCATGCCAGCGTTCTACTATTATTCTGATTTTATACCTGAGGAACAAACGCACAAAAGAGGTAAATAACTTGCTCAAGGCCACCAGAAATAGTAGGTTGCTGCTCTGATGTGATCCTGGCAGTCTGATGCTAGAGAGACGCTCGATGGTTAGTGGCTCACCTTAGACCAGGCAGAGGGCAGCGAGGTGAGCAGCAGCGGGGAGTGGTGTGCGGGCTTGCTCCTTGCTGCACAGGGCTGGGGAGGCGGAGGGCTCAGCAGCTCCCCAGGCTCCCCGGCATGCCAAGCGGGGAGGCTTCTGCCAGGCGGTGATATTTCTCTATGAATGCATGTGTAAGTCTGCCTTCCAAAGAAAAACCCTGCTCAGAGCACATGGACTATGGACTAGTGGCCCCTTTATATATTATCTGTTCTGTTTCCCGCTTACATTTTGACAGATAATCAAAGTTTTTCTGTAAGCCGACAAAGTCCATGCACTCAAGCTACTTAAAGATATTTCTTCCTGCACATTTTCTGCATGCTCTTGCCTCAGTCCAGAATTTCTTTTCCACAGCTTCTCCACAAAGTGAGAAATCAAATTCACCCTTTAAGACCCAGCTCATATTTTACTTCCCCTAAGACATCTTTTGACCCACTTCTTGGCCCTGAACAAAATCATGTCATCCATCCCGAGTGTTCCCATTACACAGAAGGGGTGACCATACCATTTAAGACTATCTTACATGAGTTCATTGCTTTTCAGTTTATCAAATTTTTTCATACATTTTTTCCCAATTGATCACAAGGCATAAGTTCACGTTCCTTTTTGAAAACTCTTGGGGTGAGATATACTTCTGAGTTCAGAACCATGTATTACCTATGCCCACCCCCATGGGGGCTGGGGCAGCGTTCTGTGATCAGACACGTTGTTTTGCAGCAAAACGTATGAATAGTCACACTAAATGGAATGAATAATCGTATAAAAACTTCATGTTGGAGATCAGGTTTTGCCTTCAAGAGAGTTATGAAAAAACAAAACCAAACAAATAAAAACAACTGTCAGTTTTCAGGGCTTTTTGGATTTTGGAGTGGCAGATATGAATTTGGATTTAGATCCAGGTCTTTCAGACTCAGTTCTGGGCTCTTTTCACTGACCTCCTAGTTTTATAGTCAGGATGTGAGAGTGTGTGTGCGTGTGTGTGTGTGCTGTCTCCCTATTAGATTGTGAGTTCATGGAGGGCAGAGAACTTTTGGCCTGGGACCAAAACAGCACTCAATGCTTCCTAACGAAATTGTCCAACTTTCTTCTCTAGAGAGAAAATGTGGCATAAAAGAGCCAGTCATTCAGGGAACCAGGGGAGAGGCACAAACCACAGGGATTTAGATATTAAGGCTTGTACTTGATCTTCCTGGCTCTGGGCTATTTAGGAAAAGCCTTGAAGGATGGGTGCAAATACAAATGGAGGTTATCCTTAAGAGAGTTCGGTCTAAGCAAAAACCCACAGCTCTTTTCCTCACAGGGAAGTACAAATCAAATTTGTAATAAAATTGCACTTCCTAAAAATCTAGATGACCATGGTTAATCAAGATGAGAATACAGGTAGATCTCAGTTCATAGATGAAGGGCAGAGCATAGATTTGGAGTGAAATAGGCAGTCCTGGGTTTGAATCCTGCCTCAGTTTATCTCAGCCAGCTAGATAAACCTCAAAATGCTTGTCTGTGAAATGCGGAGAACATTATACCCCAGCTCACAGGATTCAATGAGTTAATGTACACAAAGCATCTGCTTGAGTACCTGATACACAGTAGATGCTGAAGAAATGGCAGCTGTTATCAGTGGTAGGAATATCCAAGGAAGCCTTTGAAATAATTAGTTGGCTATAGCTCTGTAAAGAATCTTTGAATCACTGAAAGGAAGACAGCATTTTTGGGGAAAATTCAAGTAAATTTAATTCAACAAATATTTAATGACAGTCCTACTAAGTGTCAGGTAGTGTGCCAAGCGGTTTAAAGATAAAAAAATAATAAAATCAAATCTCCTGCCTGGGAGCTTGATGGTGTGGGGACTCACACCTGGGAGAAGTGCTCTCTAAGAGGCAGGCTTGTGGTGCCAAAGCTGACTGAGCATTTAACAGGCAGAGGAAGAAAATGAAAGGCGAGCAAAGGGCTTTGGAAGAAGTAATAGTGTAGTTGGGGCTCGAAGGATAAACAGGAGTGCGCTGGGTGGACCGAGAGAGGAAGGCAGGCTTCCCTGCAGAGGGAATGGCCAAGGATCTGACCTGACAGTAGACAAGGCAACAGGTGCTATCTGGATGGGAGCCGTGGGAAGGAGAGAAGGGCTGGGTAACCTAGACTCTCTTAGATAAGTGGCACTGATGTCACTTGGTGACCAGTTCCACATGGGGGGACTGGGAAGTCTGATGGCTCCTGGGCTTCTGGCCTGAGCAACCGGATGGTGACACAGGAAGGAAGGAAGGGTGGTTTGGAGTGGGGAGGAAGTTGAAGCGGGCGGCCTGCAGTATGGGATGGAGCAGAGGGCGCTTGGGGCTAGACATGCAGAACTGTGAGTCAGCTGTGTGTAGGTGGAGTCCAGGGCAGTTGGGAAACGTATTATGGGTGATGGCTGGACAATTAAATGACAGCTAATGTTGACAGTTTACTAAGCTCCAGGCATCGTGCTTAACATTTTATAGACCCAATGCTGTTTAGTCCTCAAAACACCTATCTGGAAGGTGTTATCACCCCAATTTACAGACGGGAAACCGAAGCTCAGAGAAGTAAAGTAACTTGCACCGGGTTGAATTGTAAGTGACAAGGCTTGATCTGTAGATTGACTCCAGAGCTCAGGCTGCTGAACACTAATTTGTGGAATTCTCATCCTGAGAAATATCACTGGGTATTCCCTGGGGTCCAATACATTGGGGAAACGCTGCCTACTA